TCAGGGTGGAGGGATCGGGGTTAGCGTGCCGCTGTTGGTAGCCTGCAGCCAGGATTGGCCCAGAGCCCCGGCCACCCCCGGTGATGCGTTTTCTCCTCCCTTCCCAGTCTACGCCATCCGGGAGGCAGCCACCAGCAACCTGAAGAAACTGGTGGAAAAATTCGGCAAAGACTGGGCCCACGCCACCATCATCCCCAAAGTGCTGGCCATGTCTAACGACCCCAACTACCTGCACCGCATGACCACGCTCTTCTGCATCAATGTGAGTGCCCCTCTGGGGGCAGGGGGAACCCAGATGCCTGGGGGGGGGGTCTAGGGGTTAGACCGGGGGGGCTGGGAGCCAGGACTCCTGGGTTCTCTTCCCAGCTCTGGGAGGGAAGTGGGGTCTAGGGGTTACTGCTGGGAGCCAGGACTCCTTGGTTCAACTCCTGTTTTGCGTGATCAGCACAGATTCAGCGCTGGCATAACGCTCTCCCCCTGTCCCCCAGGTGCTTTCGGAGGTGTGCGGGCAGGAGATCACCACCAAACACATGCTGCCCACTGTGCTGCGCATGGCGGGCGATGCCGTGGCCAACGTCCGCTTCAACGTGGCCAAGTCCCTGCAGAAAATAGGACCAATCCTGGACAACAGGTACAGCCAAGGGGTGGGGCCAGGCCAGGGGCCGTGGTACTGGGCAGGGTTGGATGGGGTAGGGGAGGTTGGGATCTGCTAGTGGAGTGGGGATGGTGGAGGCAGGGCTGGGGGCACCGGGGTGGGGAGGCAGGACTCTCAGCTCCCATTCGCCTCCACCTGAGCAGCTGCGATGGGAAGGGAGGGGGAATTCCCCGGGCCAGGGTTCCAGTCTGCTCTGCCCCCCATGTCTCTTGCTCTGTGGGTCCCTCTAACTGCCCCACTGCACCCCGCAGCACCCTTCAGAATGAGGTGAAGCCCGTGCTGGAGAAGCTCACGCAGGACCAGGACGTTGACGTCAAATACTTCGCACAGGAGGCCCTGACCGGTACGGGGAGGGGCTGGGGTCGGGTTGCACACTCAGCCCCCTGGGGCCCTCCCTCTTGGAGGGCGTGGGGTGTCGCTGGGCCCTGCCCGACTGATTCAGCCTCGTGGGGCCCTGTGTGGTGTGGGGGGTGCTAGGCGAGGTCTGTAATCATTACCTCCTGTCACCAATCCTCCCCAGCTGTGGGAGGACTCAGACCTGCTGGGAGCGTGGGGTTTGGGGGTGTCTTGGTCAAAGACCCCTTCTCTGCTGTGTGCGGTGGGGTGACCGTAGCAGGGGGCTCCTTTATGGAGCAGGGAGACATCCAAGTGGTGTTGGGGTTCAAAGGGGAGGTTCCAGATGTCCTCTTCTCCCCCCGGGGCAATCAGCAGCCCCCCCATGTCTGAATGAGTTCCCTGCTCCCCTCTGATTCGGGCTCTGTCTTGACCCCCTTCCCCACGTCAGATATGGGGCAGCGTTATATGATTAGGGCTCTGTTGGGGTGGGGGCTTCTGGGTTTCCCCCTCTCTGACCCAAGTGTGGGGTGTGCCTTGGGGATACCCCATCTGGCTTCTGGGATTCTCCAGTTGTGGGGGGATGGGCCTGCAGGGAGAACCCCCCCCATCCAGAAAGGGGGGGGAGGGCCTCTGGGGCTGAGAGCCGTGGCCCTGTGATCTGACCCCCTCTCTCTCTCTCCTCCCCGCAGTGCTGGCGCTGGCCTGACCCCGAGGATGTGCCCTGTCGTCTCCCTGACCTCCAGCCGCTGTCGGCCCCTCGCTCCCCGGCCCCTCCCCAAGCCTCTGTGCATGTGTATGAACCCCTGTTGGGTGGGGGTGCCCGACGGCCCAATACAGACACCCCCCCCATATTCCGATCAGCCCCCTGCTCGCCAGGGCATCACTGCCCTTCCCCTTCCAACAGTTCATCTCCTGCCTGGTCACTCACCAGGGGCGCAGCACTCGGCCCCCCAGTATTCCCCCCCACTCAAACACTGCAGTTTGGGGGGCTGCTCGTTGCTCCCTGAGTCCCCCATCCCTGCGCTTCCTCTCCCTCTGGATGGCTCGTTGCATCCCTTCTCAGCAGTCCCTGCCCACCCTGTGATCTGAGTGTGAGGGGCACAGGAGGAGATGGGGGGGTGGGGCTGCTTTCAGCTGGTTTTATGGAAGGCTGTCTGTGGGCTGTACTATTTCACAGCCATCCGTGTCCCTGCTCTCCTCCTTCATCCATCTGTTTTCTCACTCTCCCCTCCGCTGAAATCCGCCTCGTTCTCCTCTTCCCCTGCAGCATTAAACACCCTCCAGACTCAGCCTTGCCATCCTAGGCCCCCTTCCCTCCCAGACAGCCCCCCCATAGCTCTGGGGGGGGGGTGTTAGTAAATAGTGCTCGCCCCCAAAATCAAAACCCCGAACCGCCTCTCCCCCGGGGCAAGTTGTAAGCAGAGAAGAGACCAAACCTCCCTGTGGAAACAGGTTTCTTTAATGTCGGTTTTGGCGCTGGTCAGTTTCACGCTGGAGGGGTGGGGGGGGGTCTCCTTTGTCAGTTTCACCTCTGGGCAGGTTCATGCTGGCAGGCGCCTGCCTGATGCCAGCCTCAGGGAGGCTGCAAACGCTTCTCAGCCGTGGGGCAAAGGGCTTTCAAATCCAAACGCTGGAGCCTGAAACCCCCTGGGGCGATCTCTCCAGCGTGTGAGATGCTGATTAGAACATGGGGCGGGAGGGGCGTGTGGCAGCAGGTCAGCCGACATTCTCAAATCCTCTGTGCCCATCAACCCTCACAAGGGTCTGAGCCCCTTTCTCCAGCCTCCATGGGGAGCTGGGTTGGGAGAATTGAGCTGGGATTTTACAGGCCACGTTTGGGGTTGGAGGTCAGGGGTCATGACCATGATCTGGGTCATGGGGGGATAAAATCTGCTCAGAGTTCACCCCATGGCCTCTCAGCGGGGGTAAGGAAAAGGCCCCACCCTTCAAGTGACTGGGCAGGAATTAGATCAGGATTTCCCCTGGGTCCTAGCCCCATGGCTGTCAGTCCTAAGTTCTCTGGGGTTGTGCCCCTCACCTGGAAGGGGCGGGGCATCACAGACCTGTCTAGTGGGGAAATGGGATGGTCTCCGTTTGACCCCTCACACTCACCACGCAAACACCTGTGCCCCAGCGTGACCCTTCCCTTCGCTGCTGCCCTGGTGGTCATGCACTGAGCAAACACAGGGGGATCCGTACCCCCCGCACCCTTTAACACAAGTCCCACCGTCCCCCCTCCTCCTCCACACCGTAAGTGAAATGTCACTTTCAAGCTAATGGTTTTTTTTGTGAAAACTTGTTTTATTATTTTTTTTCTTCTCCATGATTAATAAAATGCTCGATCGTTCCTGCGTGGTTGTGGTGTGGACAGAGCCGCATGGTTCTCAGGGCGGGGTGGAGGGTGGAGCAAAAGGATCTTAAAGTGCTGAAGCAACTTTAGGTGTGGGTGGGGTGCAGAGGCTGGTTATAGGGGGATCCCTCACCTGCTGCTGAGATGCAGCCACCTCTGGGGTGGGGCACAGGCTGGTTATACAGGAACCCCTCACACGGTGCTGAGATGCAACCAGCTCTGGGGTGGGGTAACTTTATCCAGCTCCAGAGCAAGGCAGCTGCAGCAGCTGAGACAGACTAATGGAAAATCCTGTGTCCCCGTGAAACCCCCGTGGGGACTTGTGGGCGGTGGAAAGGATTTGAGCTGGGGCTGGCAAGTCGAGGGCCTCAGGCCAAGCGCTGAGGGTTTTGTGACCCTTTCCCTGGAATTTGTCTCCTCCCAGACAAGTGCTGCAGTAGCCGGGGACCCCCTCTGAGCCAGCCAGTCCCCCAGCCTGGGGCTCTGCCCCCTATAGGGGAAAGGGCCTGTGTCCCATTCCCTGTCCTCCTGGGCCAGCCAGTCCCCTGGCCTGGGGTTGTGCCCCCTATAGGGGAAAGTCCCCTCCACAATCACCTGGAGATCAGCCTGTTAGGGTTAACAAATCCATTCCTTCTCTCCCTGTAAGTACCGTGACTGTTGGGGGTAGAGATGGGTCTGTCACCCCTCGTGGGGCTCTTTGTACCCACAGCGGAGGCTGGCCCCTCCGCGAGAGCTGGCTGAGGTTTTCCAAAGGGCGGTGGCTGTGTCAGAAAACGCAGCTCGATTGAAATCGACACAAGCTGGGGAACGCATCTGTTTGGAGACAATTCCCTGGCCGGGGAGGCCGGTCCGAACGGAATGGACTGAGCGGAGTTGTTTCATTTCAAAACGACCCTTTTTTTGGTTGCCGGATGGATTTGATGATTTTGCTGTTTCTAAGACAGGAACCAAAGCAGCGACTGACCTGGGTTGGTTGTGCAATGGGGGAAATGGAAAGTCCAAAATGGGGTCTATTGGTTTTTTTGTAATACATAAAAGGCAAACAAGTCCCCGTTTTTGTATTTTTTGGGGGGGGGGGACGGGGGGCAGTCATGTTTTGGCCAATAGTCTATTTTTATATGATAAACAATTGGTATTTTATCAATTGTCTCAATGCATCCAAACCAACCTTGGGGTTCTTTTTTTCAGAAATGTTGTGGCGAGTTTCACAATCTGGTATCTTTATATATCTCTTTTGTTTCCATTTCGGAACCAAGTTGGGGGGATTTCCTTCCAAAGCGCACTTGTGCTTCCTGGCCAGCTCCCACCCGAGGCTGGTAGAGATAAGGCAGGACATGGGGCTTGAGATCTTGGTTCTAGCCATGTCTTTGCCCCCAGCCTAAGAGGAAAGGACCCGGGGTAGGTGACATGGGAAAATGTCCATGTCCCAGGCAGCATCTCTGGTTCATAAGGGGGAGAGTGCCCCCCAGCCCACTCCCTGAAGCACAGCACCCCCTAGCACCACACGGGCATCAGGGCCAGCCCTGACTGCCAGGGGAGAGCACCCCCAGCCAGCTCCCTGCAGCACGCCTCCTAGTGCCATGCTGGGCACCAGGACCAGCCCTGACTGCCAGGGGAGAGCTCCCCCAGCCAGTTTCCTGCAGTATGGTGGCTCCCCCTTCAGACGTGAGTTGGTGGTGCCTCCTCGAAGGCTGCCTTGAAGGCCTGCACCAGCGGCCTCCGCACGGCGTCCTGGAACTCCCTCCCAGCAAAGACGTAGAGCAGGGGGTTGATGCAGCTGTTGAACATGGCCAGGCACTTGGAGAGGGGGATGGCCACCAGGCGGACGGCGCTGGGCATTTGGGCTGTGGAGATCCTGGCTAAGGCCAAGGCATGGTAGGGTGACCAGCAGAGGAAGAAGCAGAAGATGACTCTTGTGACCACCAAGAGGGGTTT